TCCTTTGTGTTTGGATTCTTCTGCCCAGCATTGTGAGAACCATACATGGTGTTTATATACAGCAATAGTTTGTTCTTTCTCTTTTCTCGAGAGAGTTCCATTGTGTGACTATACCAGTTTATTTACTGTTAATGAACATTTGGTAGTTTCCAGTTTGGAGCTATTATGAAGAGCACTATATGAACATTAGTGGCTATGTATCCTTTGGCAAAGCCTGTATGCATTTCTGTTGCAGCAATGCCTACTTATGGAAGTGCTGGGGACTAGGTCATGCTTCAACTTTAGTGGATACTGAAAGGATCTCAAAGTTTTTGTATTTGGAGGCTTTTAAAGCACAATGGATGTGCCTCAGCCCCTGGGCGCTGTTTTGAAGAGATGGGAGAAGAGTGGTATGGTCTCCCTGGAATCTTCCAGAAGATCACACCTGTATAAGAACCTTCTTTTTAGGAAAATAAAACAGTCAGAGATGAAAGGGACCATTTAGATCTCAAGTCCAAGGCCTTCATTGTGCACAAGGAGAAACTGAGGCTCAGAGACAAGGGTTGACTGGTCTAAGGTGGTGTGGTTCTAGCCTGGTCTAGAAGCCAAGTCTTTGGATTCTAGATCCCCATTTTGCTATTTGGGTACTTGAAGAGAGCTGCTCACCTGCGAGGTGATGGGGTGGAACCAGATGCTCCATTGGACCCACAAGGATTCTATATGAAGCATGAGAGTCGGGAGGAGGGGGACTGGGAGCTGTCTTGCTCCCTACATTTTCCTTGAGTCTGGGCTAAAGCCAAAGAAAACACAAGCCTGGCTGCTCCTCTCGCAAGGGGAAGTCAAAGTGAGAGGCTTTACAATTAGAGTCTGGAAAATCTTCCACTTCACTGCCCCCAGCTCCCCGACCAGGGAGGGGATGGGGTGAGGGGTGAGGGAGGACTCTGCTTGCAGTAGGGACAGGAATTCCAGGGTCTGGAAACAAGACGGGCTTCTCCCTCAAGGGGCTCACAATATTCGGCAAAACCAGACAGCCTTTGGGCACAGAGCAAAACCCCACTTATTATGTACTGAAATTCCATCCACTAGGATCCTGGCGGGAGGCTTGAGCCCACCTCAAGCGGAAGCAGCTAAGCCCACGAGACCACCAGCTGCAGCCTCGGTCCTTACCTGGTGTCCCAAAGCCACCCCTATCTGCAGCCCTCAGACTTCCGCATCCTGGTCCCCGCCCCACGGTCCACATCCGCCCCACCTGAAATTCACTTTCTATTTTCACCGAAGCGGTTTAAGCCGACCATCCCGAGGGAATAGAAGGTGTTCCCCTACCTTGCCCCAACTTCTCTTATCTCACACCTCCTTCACAGGTCCAAAGGTCCCCACCAGATAGATGAGACCTAAGAGAAGGATAAAAGAGAGGTTGCTTCTCTTTGCAAACTCTTCTGCCATCCCCTCTTCCCTCCCCAACCATCTGCCTTCCCGCCCTGGCTCCCGCGCCGGGCTGGGGAGCCAACTAAATCTGATCAAAATGCAATTGCCAAGTCGTTAAGGTATTTGAATTTAAAAAAAAAAAAACTCCCGAGAAAGAAAGTATTTGATGGCTAATAATCTCATTTCAATATAATGGGACCTTCTTCTGCAGAGAGCAAGACAGGTTAAGAGATATAATTATGACTTTGCAAACTCTCTCCCAAGCGCGGGAGACGCGCTGACAGGTCTGCGCGCGGCTGCGCCCGACTCCGCTCGCTCCGAGGGGAGACGCTTTGTCTGCAGGGCCCGTTAAAGAGACACGGTCCTTTTTCTCCCCCCACCCCCTGCCTCGGCCTACATTGCAATTTAACTGTCAGCCGCGTCCTCGCCCCAGGATCAGCTCTGAGTCCCACGCGAGGACCGGGGGTGGGGTGGAAGAGGAAGACAGGACTAGGGGGAGGGGGAAGGAGAACGAAGGGCCGAGTGTCAAACGCTGCCCCCAAGAACTCGAAGCCGGGCTTGCAAACCCGCTCCCTTAGTGGGCTCTTTAAGGTCACATCTATACTGTAGGTCGGGGTGGAGCAATGATTGGGCGGGGTCGTGGTGCTCTTGGCGGCGTTGGTAATTCAGCCGCTCAGATTTATCTATAGCCCGTCTCCAAAGTAGCCCTTCTTGAAGGACCTCAAGGGAACGGATTCCTTCCTGGTAGAATCGCTCGGTTTCAGCTGGCGGAATGGAACCGAATTAGGGAGATGGGGAGAGATGGCGTTGGTGCTGTTCATAGCTACCTTTCCCCTACACTCTAAACTTCCCCCTCTCCCCTTTACTATATTGGAAGGGGGAAAAAAACACACACACAACTCATTGGAAGCCCGGATAGGAAATCCTTGAAGAAAGATTTTCTCTGTGTCACATGTCGCCCCCTTCAAGAAAAACTGAGAGAGAAAATCTCTAATGCGGAGTCTACGTGTGTGCGGGGTGGGTGTTGGGAGGAGGCAAAACGACCGGCTCAGCACCGTTAGAGAGTTTTGACTGCAGTTCGGGTCGTTGCCAGGAGTTGGAGAGGTGTTTGAACCGCGGCAGCCGATGAGCTTAGCGGCGCAGTGGTGCCAAGGGACCCTGGGCCCCTACTTGGAAAGGTGGGCGAGCGTCTGCGCGCGCGAGTGCGCACGTTCGTGAGCACCGCTCCGGGGAGAGCCCTGCGCTCCCAACCGGGCCAATAGTTGGAGCCGGAAAGCGAACGCAGGGAAAGAACGCACTCAAGACAGACCGACAGACACTCTTGTCCCGAGAAAAGGAGTCGGGGCTAGAGGGGACCGGAAGCCGGTGGCGTCCCCGGCTCTCTCGAAGCAGACGGGAGATTGATTCTGGGTATTTCCCGCCGATCTCGGCGCCGCCCAGCTTTGCGCGGAAAGAATTCGGAGGAAGCGGGTGCGTCACCGCTCCTCCTCTGCACTCCGAGCCCCTCGAAGGGTGGCCAGTAGGACGCCGGCCACGTGGCCGCAAGGGGGTGAGGCTCCGGCGAATCCCGGGGCCACTTTGACGGGCGGGGCCGGCAGGCCTAGAGACGCCGCGACCCCTCTTCTCCAACTGGTGAGGCCGTGGAGCCGGGGGTCCCAGGACCCCCTCCAGTCCTTGCGTCCGGCCCCGAGGGCTGTTCGAGACGCCCTGTCGCACCATCAGCCACGGCGACTCCCTAGAGTCACTCGCGCAGCAGTAAAAATGAGGTTGGCACTGTCGCGTCCTGCGTGGACCGCGCACCTGGCGGCGTATCCTTGAAGGGCGGTTTGTAAGCGAGAGGAGTCGTCCTCGCTCGCCCGACGGCTCCCCCTGGTGGCTCGGGTCGCAGGTTTCCCCAGACGGAGAGGACTTGCGGGGAGAACCAGGCCTCCGAGAAAGAGAGAAGCGATGCTCACCTGGTCGGCCCGGGCTGAGCACCCGCCCCAGCATATGCCGTCCCTCCGGCTTCGTCGGGCCCGGGGTGGCCATATCCTGCTGTAGCACCCTTAGCTTCTCCCGTGGCGCACCGCAGGATGGAGAGGGGGCGCTTCTGGAAGCAGGACTCCCCACCCTGCTCCACTCACTAGGCGATACTATGCTAGGCGGCTTTCTGACACCCCTGCCCATTTTCCTCTCGGCGTTTAATGATCCAATAGGACTGAGGCCTGGCGCGCGGCCGCCACAGGGGACCGTGGCTGCAGGGAGCCCACGTGGCCGCGCGGGACTCGGCTGGGATTCCCCGGGTGGTGGGTCGGGCTGGGGGCCGGAGCCGACGGCTCTGGGGGCGGGGGCAGTTCGGGGCTCCGAGGACGGCTGGCCGGAGTCCCAGCCCGGTGGGGGGCGCCGGGGAAGGCGGGCGCGGGCCGGGCGCGCCGCCGGCGGGGTCAGGGGCGAAGGGGCAGGCGGAGGGCAGCGCGCGGGGAGCCGGCACGGCGTCTCGGGTTACGCGGCCCAGCCCTCCCACCCGCAGCTCGGGCGCGGGGCCCCGGGCGGACTCGGGCCGTCCCCCGCTGTTTGCATTTCTCTGGCAGGCGGCGGGGCTTGGGTTGAAAGGAATCGCCTCCATTTGGAACGTTGTTTATTTTTCTTAACTAGCCAGCGCCGACAGACGACCCCGAAAGCACGGCGGCCGGACCCGGCCGAGCCCTCGCTGGGAAGGGGGTCAGGACCGGGGTGGAGGGGGGGAGCGGCCCAACGAGAGGGGCGGCGCGAGCCCCCGCTGGGGGAATGCGCCCGGGTCCCCTCCGGGCCGAGTTGGGGGAAGGGTCGCGGAGGAGCAGAGAAAGACTTCTGTGTAGGAAAACCTACTTTCTCCTGTCGCAATTACCTTTGCTTTGACCTTGCACGAGGCGGGGCGGGCGAAGTGGTTAAGCTTTCCGGCTTTGGGGTCCCGCCGCCTTGGGTTTCAGTTCCGCTTCCTTCATTTTTTTTTTAATTTTAGCTCTGTGATCTTGAGCAAGCCGTCTTTGTGACTCAGTTTCCCCAGTTCTCAAATGGGTATAACGTAGTGCTTAGCGGTTAGGGATGTTGTAAGGACTAAATGAACTCCTTCACATAAACCCTTAGCGCTGGGCCTGGAACTTGCCAAGAGTTCAGGAGACCTTAGCCCCTCTCGTCGGGGCTGTGGACGGTGGTCGGTGCCCTGGGCAGGTGAGGGTGAGTGAGGTGGGGGGCAGCCAGCAGACGTGCGGCCCACCGGGAAGAGGCTCGAGCTGGAGGCCCACGACTCTCGAGCTCCGGGGAGAGGTGCGGGCTGGGGAAGAGTTCTGAGCGTTTTGACATGAAATGAATAAAATGCAAATGATATTCAAAGCCAGATGCTAATGAGGATCTATCCTTTGAGCGTCCACAGCCCCGGCAGTGCCCAGAACAGTGGCGGAGCTGGTGTGAACTCAGAGATGGGCAGGGTCCTGCAGCCGGGGACTGTGTGTGTGTGTGTGTGCGCGCGCGCGTGTGTATGTGTGTGTGTGTGTGTGTGTGTGTTTGTGTGTGTGTGTGTGACGGCGCGCGCCTGCTCCGGAATGTGCGTAGCCGGCTCCGGGTGTGCTCGCGCCGTCATGAAAATGAGGTCAGGGAAGGTCGTTCCACTCGGCAGCATAAATCAAGGAGGAAAGGAGAATGGATGTGAGAGACAGTCCCCGGAGACCGCCCCGAGAGAGGCTGAGCGAGGGAAGCGGGAGGGGGAAAAGTTCTGCGGAGAATGGGCGAGAAGCGGGCCCAGGCGCTCGCCCTCCCCGCGCTTCCCGCCCCGGAGGGTCCCTTCTCTGGAGCTGCGGCGCCGGGACTCAGGCGAGATCGCGCCTTTAATACCCGTATCCTTTCCCCTCCCCTCCCCAGGCTCCCAGCACTTTTCCCTCGGTCCCCCCCTCCCCGCCGCCCCCAAACACCCTCATCGAAGAGCTCTTTGTGTGGATGGTGAAGCTCCTTGCACCCAGCCTCTTCAGGAGCGTGTCAGTGCCCCGGAGCACACGCCAGTTGCACTCGTAATCGCACACTTGTTACTCGCGCACAAGCGTCGGGGCTCCCGGGCGCGGGGAGGTGGGAGCGGGGAGCGTCCTGCGGGGATCGGAATCCAACGCCCGGGAGCGGGCTGCTCTCCCCTGTCCGCGCGGAAGGACTCCGGCCCCGCGTTCTTTCTCCACGCAGTCCGCTTCCCGGGTCTCGCTGACACTCACTATCGCGATCCTCCCGCCCCTCCGGCTCTCCGCTTTCCACCAGCCGCCGGGGGAGAGTGGTGCTCCAGGAAGGTGTTTCCCTGCGCGCCGTCCTGGGACCCCCAACCCAGAATCTCCGGGGGCTCAGGCTGTCCTGGGCCGGAATGGAGTCACAAGTTCCAGGCGACCTGCCTCTCAGAGAAAGGGGGACCAGTGTGGAGCAGCCCGGTATGGGGAGGGGGGTGGGAAGGGGTTTCTCTTCCTTCTTTCTTTGAACTCCAGGCCCAGAGGGCTGAAAGGGGGGCAGGGCACAGTGAAGAAGGACCAGAGTCCCCAGCCCCTCTGTGGAGCCCGGGGCAATTTGCTCTCCGCGGGTACCATGGGTACCCCCAGCTCCAAGAAGTGTAAGAAAGAGGATGGACTGGATGGCTCCCACACTCTGATCAGACTTTTCCCCCCATCACATTCTCCTTATGAAAAGAACAACAACGATGCTTAAAGCCTGTATGGTAGGCAAAAAATCAGAACACAGTAATGTACATTGAATTAAATTTACATAGAGCTGTCACCATCAAGAGTCTTCCTTGAGCCTCCACAGTTTGTAGATTAATTAATTAGGTCAGGCAGTCATTCATCAAATATTTAGTGAGCTCCTACTAAGTGACAGAGGAACAGAATGCCAAGAGCCTGGCCCTCCCTGCACTTACATTCTCCTGGGACAGAAAGATAGTAAACATAAACTCAGACATATAATCCGATGTCAGGCTGGGTAGCCCTGTGTGCTGTGAAGGAAAGATTAAGGTTAAGGGTTAGAGAGGTCCTCTCTGGGGAGAAGGCAGGGACCTGAGTGAAGTCAGGGAATGAGCCATGCCAAGCTCTGGAGAGAGAAGTTCCAGGCAGAGGGACCGGCCAATGCAGAGATGGAGATGTGGAAAGTGCCTGCTTTGCAGCCTGACAGGGAGGGGAGAGGGAGGAGGTGAGATGGAAGGTTAGGCCTAGCTTTGTAGGTCTGGGAGGGGGGTTTGGGATTATATTTACTAGGTGTGATGGGGAAGCCGTTTGAAATTTTTTTTTAAAAGGACCGACACAACTTGTGTTTTATAAAATAAAGATGGCATTTAACTACCGTATCCAAGTTCTCCAGGTTTGTGAGCTCCTTAACTCAGATCTCCAGCTTGTCTCAATCCAACATGTCAAAGATACATGCCCAAGCGAGACTGCCCCAGAAGGAGCCAAAAGACATCTTGAACGGTACCCGCTTCCTCCCACCCATACTTTTAGGAAGATGTCCAGAATGAGGCAGTGGCTAGGGGCTCTAAATCTGCCAGCTGGGTCAGATTTCTCAGCCTCGGAGGATTCCTGACTCCCCATCCCAGCTGTTGCTTCTGCTTTGCCTAACCTGGGTCTTTTCCGGGCTGTGGCGACTGAGGGCCACCCTGGAGCGAGAAGGGAAGACCCAGCCTCGCCGCGACGCTCCAATTCCGGGGCTCCGGCTGCAGAATTTTTTCTCCCGGTGAGTGAGTCCGTCTATGCGCACAGCCTGCACTGTGGTCCCACACCGCCTCCCGGTGGCCAGCGAGGATACTGCAGCAGGAGTCGGTATTGGGTGCAGAACAGCCCCAGGGACCGCAGAGGGCGCCGCAGCAGGCTGACTGCGGGTTTACGAGGGGCCGGGTGCCACGCAAGGCGCTTCACTTACTGGTTAACCATCAAGGTAACTTCGGGAGACAGAGTTATCATATCCCTCACTGTGCAGACGAGGAAATTGAGGACAAGCGAGGTAGTGTGCTTCGTCTGAGAACGTGAAAGTGAAAGTCGCTCAGTCGTATCTGACTCTTTGCGACCCCCGATACGGTCCATGGAATTCTCCAGACCGGAATACTGGAGTTGGGTAGCTTTTCCCTTCCCCAGGGGATCGTCCCAACCCAGGGATCGAACCAGGGTCTCCTGCATTGCAGGCAGATTCTTTACCAACTGAGCTATCAGGGGAGCCCTGTCCGAGACCATAGAGCTAGTAAATCGCAGAGTGACTTAGTTTTGCGCTATCTCTAGATGCAAAACAGTATGAGAAGAGACAAATATTGGCCTCCATCCTAGGGAGTTCTCCCTCCCTTTAGCCCTGAAGAATCAGCTAGAAAATGCCTTTAGCAGGTTCACTGAGCTTCCAAATCTGTGTCTGAGAATGTTCAGAGGATTTTACCCCCTTCTCAAGTCTGAACCCATTTCGGAGGGGTCCATGGCCGGCAGCTTGAGGCCAGTTCAGGCACAACTGCACAACTCTGTCCTGCCTGCTGCATGGTCAGGGGTCTCTGTCGCCTCTCTGAGACTGAGACTGGTTGAACACCCTCGTCCCTGACGGGGAAGAGCAAAGTGCTCTGAGTGGGTAGCTCTTAAACCATTGATGGCGCAGAGGAAGGGAAGGCAGGGGGTGACCATACCGAGCCCACTCAGTGTTCCTCCTCTATCTTGAGTCCAGGGTCGGGAGACCCCTGACTGACATTGGGGCTCCCTCTTCTCAGGGCTCTGGGACGCCTCAAGCTGGTTTTACACCCGCAGCCAGCGGGGCGAGGACGCCTGGGCAGAGTCCGCCACGCCCGAGCAAACGTGGGCGCCGTTCCCCGTCCTGTGCTGCCCCCTCGTGGGCTAGGGTATGGCTGCCGCCTCCAGCCTCCTTCCCACTCAGCGGCTAGCCTTCCGGCTTTCTCGCCTTTCTTCCCAGAACCAGAAGCCAAACCGGTTTCCTAGGAAGGAGATGTGAAACTTTTGGGAAGGTTTGGCCACCCGACCTATGTCCACAGAACGTCAGGATTATTACCTCCCAACGAACGTTTAATAAGAGCTTACGGTGCAGTCTCCCCCAACCTCCATCAGCCTTGGGAAGGGCTCACAGCTTAACAAAGAAAAGAGTGCCCCAAATGACTCCCGCAATCTTTATTCTTATTAATATTTTTAGCTCTTAACTTTTAAATCATTGTAGATTCAAAGGAAGTTCAAGGATAATACAGAGAGGTCCTAAGTACCCTTCTAGGACATTAGTGGATTCTTATAACCATCACTTGCAATCAAGATTCGTAACTATTCCAGCACAGCCAGAAGCCCCTCCCCTCCGTGTACCTCTTTATAGCCACACCCACTCCTCCCTGTCTCAACATTCTTAAGCACTGACAACTGTTAATGTGCTTTCCATCTCTGTAATGTTCTCATTTCGAGAATGTTATATATAAACGGAATCATACACTATGTGCACTTTTAAGAGTTTTAACTCTTAAAAATATTAGAAAATTTAGAAAAATTAGAAAATTAGAAAATAATAGAAAAAATATTGAGATCCATCCTATTTGTGGCATGTATCAACAGCTCATTCCTTTTTATTGCTGAGAAGCACTCCACGGTTGTTATTGTCATGGCTAAGTTGTATCTGACTCTTTGCGACCCCATGAACGGCAGCACGCCAGGCTTCTCTGTCCACCACTGTCTCCCTAAGTTTCTTCAAACTTATGTCCACTGAGTCGGTGATGCCATCCAACCATCTCATCCTCTGTCACCCCCTTCTCCTCTTGTCCTGAGTTTTTCCCAGCATCAGGGTCTTTTCCAGTGAGTCATCTCTTTGCATCAGGTGGCCAAAGTATTGGAGCTTCAGCTTCAGCATCAGTCCTTCCAATGAATATTCAGGGTTGATTTCCTTTAGGATGAACTGGTTTGATCTCCTTGCAGTCCAAGGGACTCTCAAGAGTCTTATCTGCCTTTTGGCTAAGATCAAGTGTAGTATTCCGTGGAGATACACATAAACAGTTTGTTTAATCGTTCATCCATTGAGGAATATCTGGTTGTTTTCAGTTTCGGGTTTTTACAAATAAAACTGCTCTGGACAGTCATGTACAGGTTTTCTTGTAGACATAAATTTTTATTTCTCTGGGATAAATGCTCAAGAGTGCAATTACTTATGGTTTCTTATCATAATTGTTTCTTAGGGCAAGTGTATGTTCAACTTTTAAAAGAAACTGTCAATTCTAGTTTATTTTGGCATCCTCTTAACAGAGGCTTTTGCAGAGCAAAAGTTTTTAGTTTTGATGAAGTCCTTTTATCAATTTTTTCTTTTATGTATTGGATTATGCTTTTGGTATCATGTGTAAGAACTCACTAAGCTCTATGTCCTAAAGATTTTCCTCTAGGTTACCTTCTGAACTTTTAGAGTTTTATGCCATACATTTAAATCTATGCTTCATTTTGAGTTAATTTTTGTATAAGGTATGAGGTTTAGATCAAAGTCTTCTTTTTAACTTATGGATACCCTGTTGCTCCAGCATCATTTCTTGAAAAGACTATACTTCCTCCATAGAACTGCTTTTGCATATTTGTCAAAAATCAGTTGGCGTTATTTCAGTGTTCTCCGTTCTGTCCCATGGATTCTCTCCACTAATACTGCTCAGCCTTGATTACCGCAGATAAATAATTTACATAGATAGCTATATTTATGATTCCTTCTACTCTATTCTTCTTTTCACAGTTGTTTTCATTCTTCTAGTTGCTTTGCCTTTCCATATAAATTTTGAAACAATCTTATCTCTATCTACAAAAAAAATCTTGCTGAGATTTTGACAGGCATTGCATTAAACTTGTATATCTTTACAATGTAAGTCTTCCAGTCTATGAACACTCCATTTATTTAGATGTTTGATTTCTTCAATGTTTTGTAGCTTTCAGCATAGCAATTCCTGTATGTGTTTTGTTAGATTTACATATAAGTACTTTATCTCTTTAGTGAGTGATTGTAAATGGTGGTATATTTTAAGAAATTATCTCCATGTATTTATTGCTAGTATATAGAAATACAATTTATTTCTGTGTATTGGTAGTTTGTCCCTTTGTATTGCTGAGTGGTATTCCCCTCGTATGGAGGAATCACAGTTTATTTAGCCATTTGCCAGCTGGGTTACTTCCAGTTTTTGGCAGTCAAGCCAAAAGGGTGCTATGAGCATCATGCTTGTTTTTTTTTTTTTAATGAATGTAAAGTCAACCTATTTGCTGGTTTGTCTCGTGAGTGAGAAGTCAGAGGTAGGCGTGGCACAGGACTTTTTCAGTTGGTCATGCTAAGCTCGCTGGATGAGGAGGGGAACAGCTCATATGTGTAATTAAAGTCTCAGGGAGCCAGTGAGAACACACTACATGAAAGATGAGCTTCCGGAGAGGACACTTGAGACTTCATGCCACCAGCAGACTTGATTAGGACCAGATACATACAACCTCCCACTATCATCCCAGGGAAGGGGGTGGAGATGGTGATGGGGGTGGTGAGGGAGATGGGGTTTGCAAGGATGCTGCAGCCTCTGACATCCTCACAATCTATTCACTTCAACAGCCATGAAAATATTGCCATCTTCTTTTACCCAAGTGCATTTTATTTTAAGAATATTCAAACAATGCAGAACATAGGGTAAAATGTAAACGTTCCCCTTCACTGGTACCCAGACTTAACTCCTGTTAGCATCAGGAGGCAATCCTTGCACATTCTCTCATGTTTCTACACACACACACACACACACACACAACTCTGAGTATCTATGGATATGTCTTTATCTTTGTTTTAACTTATGTTGATGAAGTACTATGATACGTGCCACTCAGCAGCTTGACTTTTCTGCACCTAAATATTTTGGTGATCTGACCTATCTATGCACAGATCTTTCCCACCCGCAGCATGGTGCTCTGTACTAGTGATGAAGCACCACTTACTTAGTTCCTTTCCTATTCATGGCCAGTTGACTTGTCAGTTTCACTATTATGTAAAATGTTGTGACAAATAGCCTTTTATTTACCTAGCTGTGCACACATGACTGTATTCTCTCGTGTGGACCCCAGAAATGATTGAATTGCTTGCAGGAGGGGGTGCCTGTTTAATAGTTTGATAAATCTGAACAAATTGATTTCCTAAAAGGACGTGCTCATTTATATTCTTGCCAACAGCTTTTGACTATCAATTTTCTCAACCTTATCACCACTGGAAATGACCAATCTTTTAAATTCTTATTAGTTTAATGGGTGGAAAAATGATCCCCTCTCCCAGTTGCTTTAATTTGCATTTTCCCATTTACTAATAAAATTGATCCTGTCTTCTGTATATGAATTTTCCATGGATGTTTCTTTGGATTGCAATTTCTGTCCTTTTCCATTTCTTTTATGGAGTTGTTGCCCTTGTTATAAAACCAAATTCAGCCCAGTAAATCTGAAGCTCTAATTGGCTTTATTCAAGGATTCATGAATCGGCAGCATGCATCTACAAGGGTGCTCTGGGGGATTGCATGGAATAGAAGGTTTCTATAACAAGAAGGGTGGAGGGCAAGGGAACTTTTAGCAAAAGAAAATAAAGGATTATTTTAAGGCCTGGACATCCTTTTGGAGGGGTAGGGGAAGGGTTTTATCATGTGGGCCTCTTCCTCCTCTGAGGGAGGGAGAAGGTCCACATGGCAGATTAGCTCATAGGTGCTGACCCGAGTTCCAAGCTGGTTGATTAAGACTGTCCCTGGGGGAGGGGGAGACTACAGTTAGGTCAAGTGTTAAGTCTAGGTCTGTTGTCATGGGCTTTAGCAAAAGTGGCATCATTTTGGGCCTGTAGTTTTTCTCCTTAACACCCTTTACTGATTGATTTTAAGAGTTCCCTATACATTCGGGATAGTTTTATTTTTTTTAGTATAACATTATTTTTTTCTATCCTGTCATATTTCTTCTTCTTTGTATTTAATGTTTTGGCCACACTGAATGGCATGTGGGCTCTTAGTTCCCTGACCAGGGATGAAACTTGTTCTCTCTGCATTGGAAGCACAGAGACTTAACCCCTGGACCACCAGTATCTCGTCACTTAAAAAAAAAATCGTTTATAAATAGTATGTTTTATTATATGAGGCATGCAGGCTTGGCTCAGATGGTAAAGCATCTGTCTACAATGCGGGAGACCTGGGTTTGATCCCTGAGTCGGGAAGATCCCCTGGAGAAGGAAGTGGCAACCCACTCCAGTACTCTTGCCTAGAAAATCCCATGGACGGAGGAGCTTGGTGCAGGCTACTGTCCATGGGGTCGCAAAGAGTCGGGCATGACTGAGCAACTTCACTTCACTTTATTATATGTGGGAAAAGTAGTGTTTTCTAAGTAGAAAATCTGTAAGGCTTTTCTTTTCTGGCTTCTCTGTAGGGAGCTGCCTGCGTGGAGCCAGTCCTCTGGGGAAAGGGTGAGGATGTTTCTCCCAGGAGCCTGGTGCCCATGGAGACCCACTTCCCAAGGGAAGAAGTTCACCAGGGACACGGGGGATAATCGCGAAGTTCTGGTGGCTGCAGGGAGTCCTGTGTGTCCTGCCTGTGGCCTGGGCTCACCTCTGGAACCAGTCGGGGGACAGTGAAGCCAGACCCAGGCCGAGTGTGGGGACACGTAGTCTTGCTTTACACCTGGGCCTGGTGACTGGCAGGTCACCGTGATTTGCTGAGCCTCCCTCCGTGGCCTGTGAACACAGAACCAAGAACTTGGCTCATTACCCGGTTCTCAGTGCACCCTGAGAGGAACTCAGGATGAGAAACAGCCTAAGGCACAATGAGCTTTGGATAAACGGCCCCCTCCTCGAGAGTTAGCTGCATTTCCCAGGAAGAATCCCAATGACCC